GAAACTGTTGTAAGTTGTCAGACAGGCTTACACTCCTCCTCTCTCTAAAAACATAGCACCCTTATAAGGATGTAAAGCTAACTAGGCCTGTAGAACTTTAGAGACTAACCTCTAGAGCTCTGACTATACCTTCTATTCCTGTCCCTGTTTACCCTATCCTACCTATTCTACTAAATACTACTAACCTTACTCTCTGTACCTTGTGTTCATAATCTACAACACCTTGTAAACCTCCTCCTCTCCTTCTACTAAACCTAGTCAATTAAGAGTACATTATAGAAAGAGTATATTATCATTTAGAACATAATACTTAAGTTAGCTTGTATAGAATCTTAGAAAAGTTTAATTAGAGTCAGGTAGCTCTAGAGTATATTCTGACTTGTCTAAGTTTACTGTAATAATAAAGTACAGTCTGTTATAGTAAGGTATGAATTTTATAGTATATTATAGTGTTTGTATAAGATAGTCCTAGTAGTAATTATGAGTAGAGAGTATAACTTAGTCTCCTACTGTGAAACAATCTTCTGTAGCATAGTCCTGATTTACATAATGTGTCTAATGAGTCTTAGCTGCTAGAAGGGTGTCTTGTACCTCTATAACATTCTAATGTATGTAGGCTAGGAATTCTAATACTTGTACTTCTAGAGAATCTGCTTGTGTCTGTTCTAGTTATGTAAGTAGTAAAACTGTCTACAGTAAGCATTCATAACATAGTTAGAACAGAGAGTATTCTGTAGAAGCATTTACTGTATTTATAATACAGAACCAAACCTATAAGAGCTGAGCCTACCAACCCTACTGTTAGTAATTAATATAGAAGTGTAGCAACTAGCTTACTGTCTTATTAGTATACTCACTTACTCTATCTGTCTCTGAGTAGTATACTGTCAACATTTTTAGCTTTACACTTGTCCTTATGTGTAATACAGTCTAAAATCCAGACAGGAACAGACAGTTCTAGTTAGAAACAATTTCCTAAGGTAAGCTGTTTTTATAATACTATTTATTAAAGAACAGTTCTACAAATTATTCTACTATTATGTCTATCCTACACAGTTTAATCCTAATGTCTACACTACCTAGTCAATCTGTCATTATTACTATTCTGTTGTATCTACTATCTTTTAGTAATAGTCTGACAAAGTCAATTGTAATACTCTCAAAACACACATTCAGAACTAGTAGTAGATATAGTAGACTAGTAGGGTTTATAGTTAGGTTCTTGTTATGTTAGCACACATTGTAGCCTGGAATATAGTTCTGTTTCAGGTCCTAACACATATTAGGCTAATAGAATGAGTTGTGTAAAGACAGATAAGTCTTGTCTACACTGAAATGTTCTAGTTCATTATATATAAGGTAGTACAAGGTTTTGTACATGTTTTCAGAGCTTAGGATCACTAACCTGTTGTCTAAGTATAGTAACTTATAATCCTTACAAGCTCCTACAATACTTTTAAGATTGTATTAAAGCTTGTAACAGAATTCATCCATATTATAACTGTTCCTAATAGTTGTAAGAAGATCAGAATCTACAGAGATTTGTATAAATATACTTCCTAAGGTTTCCTGTACTAGGTTCTCATTTTCTAGGCTAGAATCAAAGTCTAAATGATAGGAGAGTGTATTAGTAACTGTGTTCTCTTCTCCTTTAATATAATACAGCTTGTAGTCATACTAGGAAAGGTCCTCCATCTACTAGACTTGTCTCTAAGACAGACTACACTGTGTATCTAAGTATTTGAGAGTATAGTAATCTGTGTAGACATAGAAATGTACTCTTAGAAGGTAAACACACTATTTCTGAAGTGTACAAAAAATTGTAAGAAGTTTGTACTTGTATACTAAGTAATTGTGTTCTGTACTGTTACATTACTTAGACTTAAATGTTACAGGTTTTACTGTCTTCCACAAGGATCTAACACTAAGGACTGCTCTGGTTCTAGAATCACTTGTATCTGTAGTTACATAAATCTGCTCTCCTAAATTGTAATCTACAGAAGTAAGACACTTGTAGCTGGTAATAATAGACTTGATTACTTTGAAAGTGTGTTAGTGTTCTAGTTTCTACTCTAGAAACACCTTATTATAATCCTTACTTGTAAGTAGGGAAAGAACTATAGTATACTCTGTAAGGTGTAGAAGGTATACTATAATATACTATAAAAGTCTAAGGAACTTACAAACATCTTAGGCTCTCTAGAGCTGTAGCTATTGTAGAATGTGCTTGACTTTGTCTAGGTCTGCTTCTGTACCCTTTACTGTAATTAGATACCTGAGAAACTTAACCTTTGTACAGAATAACTTAGTTTTCTTCTGTAAACAGACAAGACTCTTATTATAAAGCACCTGTATAACCTTTCTAATGTTTCTAATGTGTTCTGCTTCAGACTCTAACTAGATAATAATATTATCCAAGTAGACATGACAGATCCTTCTAATAAGATACTCTAAAGCTCTTATGACTCTCTGTTATTGTGTGGCTAGTGTGTTGTATAATTCTATTAGTATGACTGTCTACTCATATAGTCTAACAGAGTACTAATTGTAGTGAGCAGAATATGTTCTAGATTCATACAGGTTTGGAAGAATGTGTTAGTCATGTCAATCTTTACATATATATATCCTCTAATAGTATTATTCATAATTTTGTCAATGTAAGACAGTAGGGTCTGGTTACAGATCATATTACTATTTAGTACCTAGTAGTTGTATACTATACATAGGAGGTCCTCTGGATCTGCCTTCAGAATTAGGAATGTGAGTAATACATACAGACTTTCTGACCTTTACAAACAACCAGCTTGAGTGTACTAATTTAGGAGTATGTGTTATACCTTCTAGTATTTCTGTAAGTATACATAAGACCTTACAGCTACTATCTTTGACAGGTCCTTAAACTGTATTTTGTGTGTAATACCTTCTGGAAGTTCTGTAACTAATAGTATAGAGTCTAGGAAGTAATCTTAGTATTGTTACTTTAGCTCTCTATCTAAGGTCTCATATCTTCCTGACCTAGCTAGTGTCTTAATATGCTCTCAAATGACTGTAGTTAGAGATAGTGCCAGTTCTGAGGGGATGTGTGTAGGTTGTAGAATGTAGACTGATTCTGTCTTTTCTACCTTCATTAGATTATATCTGGAATCCTTTAGAATAACTGTCTAGCCTTCTATGTTAATAACAATCCAGTTCTTCTGAAGGAAAGGAGTACTAAGAATTATCTTGTTATACAAGTTATTAACTACACAAGCTTTTACAACCTTTGACATCCATTTCCAATCTACTAACTATACTTACAACTTTACCTACTCTGTAATCCATTTTCCTGACTCTTCTACTAATTTGATTACTAGTGTTATAATAATGTGTCTTTTGAGTAGGAAGTACTTAATACCTATCTAGGACACTAGTTTCTTGTCAATCAGAACTGTAGAACAGTCAGAGTCAATCATAGGTTAGATATAAATTAGAGTAGAACTACCTTCTACAAGGATACAGTAGTCTGAGAATAGTAAGGAGTCAGAAATTAGAACATACTCAGATTTGTCTCTGTTTACAAGTTCTAACACTATAGACTGCTCAGTTTGTACAGGTACAGTAGGCTTTTGCTTTGAACATAAGGACTCTATATACACTTTTGTAATAGGAACTGTGTCTTTAGGTTTTAGCAGACCTGTCAGACAATTATCACCCTTATAGTTTACAAACAGTTTGTAGTACTAGAAACATTCCTGGTTTTTCATTAAGAGTTAGTACTCTACATAGGATAAGGTAATACACCTTACAGTACTTTTTAAAGTAACCTTTAAGCTGACTGTTACTAGGGTAAACTTCCTAGTGTATAGCTTCTTCTGGTCCTTCTTCTAGACCTGTTTTACAGCTAAAATAGTCTCTATACTATTGTAGACCTTTGTACAATCTGCTTCTAACTGTTCTGCTAGCTTGTATACATACTCTAACTATTTACAGAGTCTTGTACAGTCTATTACTTCCCTTCCTAGGATTGGTTCTAGTGTTAGGAGGTGATCTACAGGATTAGGAATTTGACTATTTACTAGTACTACTATATACACCCTTTCTATATATATTACAATCTGTTTAGTGTACATTAGAACCACTTTTACAAGTGTAAGACAAAGCTTGAACTGAAGATCAGGGTGTAGATTAGTCTTAAGAAGCTTGTAAAGCTTGTCAGGATTAAGGCACCAATCTTCTAAGAGACTGAAATTTATTCTAGTATCCTGTAACTGTCATTCTCAAAAGTTACAACTATCTTACTGTGTTACTAGCAGCTTGTTCCTAGTTTACTCTACCTAGTCTGTAGAGAGTATTTTACATTAGAGCTTCTGATAGAATGTGTCTAGTATAAGCCTCTCAAGCCTAGGCTAGTCATATTTGTACTACTAGTACAGTCTACTATTCTGTAAGTATCCTATTACAACTACAACCATATAGGTTGTAAGAACAGATTTAACAAATGTGTACCTACAGAACACAGAGATTCATAACTGAGTATACAGTGTCAGATTGTCTAGAGTCAATATTAGAGGCTTTGTAGCATTCTCTCAGATCAGCTAAGCTTTAGTAGACATACATTAGGAAAATATCTCAAACTTTGTATTAGCTTATATGTATATAAATTATATATATTTTCTACATTATGTATAAGAGCTTATTGTGTACCTAGGGGTTTTAGGAAGGTAATAAGAAGCTAAGAAAGCTATTAAAAAGTCTTGACTATCTGGTCAAGAATAATAAGAATTGTAGTACTTACTAAGATATACAAGTGCTTAAAGTGCACCTCACAAAATGGCTAAGTATTATAATACTTATTATTTTAACAAGGAAAACATATAAATATAAGATGTATAAGATAAGTTTGTCCTTATATCCATTTGTTATTGAAATAACAGTTTATAATTATATTGAAATATTGTATAAATACATTATTATCTACAACAATTAGGGAAATAATCTGACAACAGATGGTGAGTGTATTGACAATAGAGAACAAATGTGTTCCTCAGCTGTTTGAGGTAGTCTTTGTCACTATGCCTTGGTTGCCACTCTGTCCCTGCAAGTTGAGTTGTGTGTGGATTGTGAGATTGTACAGATTGTAGAGGTCAAGGTTGCACTTGTGAGGCAGGTTTGGAGGTTGACTTGCTAAGGAGGTAATGGGTTGTTAGCAAGTGTAGGTGCTTGAAGTAAAGAGATGGATGCACTATGACAGCATGTAGCAAGTGTGAGTAGTGCACCAGGGTTGAGATCCAGAGTATTGAATGAACTGATTTGAGTAGCAAGCAAAGCTGTGTCTGTAAGTGCACATTGTATGCTCTGGCTATGTCTCACAATCAGAGGTACAGTAAACTGAGCCATTACAGATGACTACAAAGGTGTATCTCTGGGACGTTCTGGATTGAAGGGCAAGGGTGAAGTGGAAGATGTGGACAGATTCAACTCATCTTGAATAGGTGTGAGCAATAGGCTACTACTCCTGTTCAATGTGGTGTCATGCCTGGCACAGAGGAATGTAAATGCATACAGTGTGGGCCTACCAAGAATGATGTCAAGCATTGCACAGGTGGGGAAGGAGAGCACATACCAAGTAAGAGAAGGGGTAGCACAATGGGAGTAGATGTACATGGACATTGTTGCAAGTGTGTGCTCATCAATTGTTGCTTGCACTGTAGAGCAGGAAGAAGTATGCAAGTGTATAGGATTTTTGAAGAATTTGCTCGGCATTGGTTGACAATGCAGATGCAAGAATGTGAATGCAAAAGGGAAGGTGGTGTAGAAAGGAGGACAATGAAGGAGAGGCAATGCAATCAGCAGAACAAGGAGCAGAAGGGATGTAAGGGAGACAAAAAGTTGGGAGGAGAGGGATGAGTAACTATTGTACAGGTTATTATGAAGTGAACCAGTTGCTTGCATTTAACATTGTTGAGACTGGGAGGGTACAGTGTAATCAGCTGTGTGGAATCTGGGACTCAGTACAGGCATCACAACAGTTGATTAGAGAGACAAGTGTAGCAATGTTTATTGTCAATGTTGTTGAAGGCAGGGTGGCAGCTAGTAGGATGCATGCAAGAAGAGAAAGACTAGAGACTTAGAGAGAACAAAAGTAACAACATGGTAGCACAGCAGAGAGTTAGACTTAGAGAGGTGGTGGAGGTTGAAGAGAAAGAGTGGCACACATAAGTGTGTCATTATATGCTCTCAATCTTCAGCCGTTGATTACATAAGCAAGTTAGGTATCAGTTGCCCAAGATAATCTAAGTATAATGTACATATTATATACTTATAGTATACTTTTATTAAGATAATAGGGATATAACAAGTGCTCTTACACTATTATATACATTAATATACCTTTTGCATAAATAATAAGATAACAATAGTTATTATTACATTATTATATTATAAATATAACTCTTTTTTAAGATTATAATTTAAATGTAATACAAGCATAATACTTTAGGTTATTATACAAAGTTAGTATAATACATGTAATAGATTTTATTCATCCTTAGTACTTATGTAGTCTTTATATACATTAATATGTTTTATTTAAATGTTACAATTCATTTACAAACCTTACAATTACTTTACAATGTATATACAATACACATGTTACTTTACAAGGTCTATAAGAAATTACAAGAAATGTAACATTTTCCTGATGTAGTTTGAGACATTATAGCTTTCTAGTGTCTCAGAGTAGGCTTGCTTACATTACTATCTGTTTCTAATAACTCTGAGCTACTCTCTGAATCTGAGCTTAGGGTGGCTGTAGATAGTAGTAGTATTAGGGAAGTGAATACAGATTCTCTAGTCAACAGAGGAGTAACTATAGTAGCTTCTAAGGATACTTAGTACTAAGGGAAACAAGACCTGGTTATATGTAGCTAGAAAGAGGGCTGAACTTGCCTCAGAGCTATAGTAGTATGTTTAGAAAGGCTAGAGAGCCTTACTAACAGTATAGAGTGTTCAGAAAGGTTAGATAACCTTACTAACAGTAGGAGACATTTGGGAAGGCTAGAGGAACCTTACTAACATGTAGTATAATAAAGACTACTTTGTTAATATTTTAAAAAAAGTAGAACAGTACTAAGAAAGTGCTAAACACTGTTACAAACAAGTTCTGAGTTTGTAACAACACACAAAGGCTGACAGGACAAAGGTATCTTTGTTACAGTTAGGAATACAAACTTATACATGTACAGACAAAGAACTCACCTTTGTTACAGTCAGGAATACAAATTAATATAATAAAGGTGAAGGATACTAACTATATATACTAAGGAAATGGTTCATCCCTAAAGGGGAAAATAAAAGGGGGGAACAAAAAAGGGGGGACATGATACATACTTAAAGGGGAAGACAAAAGGAGATAGTATGTATTTAGGAATGTAGAGAAGGTAGTTATGACAAAAGGGGAACTTGATACAAGTACAAAGGGAAAAGTGTGTGGCTCAGTAAGCTACTGTAAGAATCTGTATACAGGAAACATAGTTCTGTACTAGGACAGGTGTGGAACTGTACAGAAACTGTTGTAAGCTGTCAGGCAAGCTTATATATTATTGTTATTAGAGTGTCTACAGTTGTATTATTGTTTATAATACATGTTAAATGTTTTAGTTATTTGATTTACTATTCTGTTTAGTATATATACACTTGTTTTAAGTATTAATTGTTTAGCTGTAATATTACTATATATGTTATTATTTGATTTATACTATAACAATAGTGTTAATCATTTGTACTATTGTAATGTTAATAGTGGATGAGCAGTGTTTACTTTCTCAATCTTTCTAACATTTGTCATTTAATAATTAAATGTTATAGTAAGTAATACTCATTATAGTTTCAACATTGCCTGTACAGATTACATTATTACTAGGCTAATAATTATAGTTACTAAGACAATAATCAAATAATGTCTGGGTTGTATGTAGTACAGGAGATTGTGTATCTACAGTGTGTTAATTTGTGTTTAGAATACTCAGACAGGTGTGTTGAGTTCTGTGTCATAGTGTGCTACATGTGTACAAGTGATCCATAGTAGTGTATAGAGTATAAATATAGTAGAGTGTAGATAAAGTATAGGTAGGGAGTGTAAGGCTCATAACCTATTAGGAAAGGGTTATGAGAGAGGCTTAGAGGGATCACACAAAGAGGGGGGATAGTAGACTCAGCTCACTCTCTAGTGTCTGCTTTATTGTCTGTTGATTAGTTAGTCTATATATACTATATAGGTATGTCTCAGATGTAGAATGTATAATAGAATATATTCTATCATTACTCATTATTACTTGTAATATAGTTTATATCATCTAAGACATACTCTTGTATAGTTATGTCTTAACATCTTACATGTTCTATATAATTTGTAGACTTCTATTTATGAGCAGGATTACAGGTGTTTAATAGAAGTACAAATAAAATGAGTTGGAAAAATCCACCCACTCAACTAAATGACAGATTCACAATAGGATAGAAGGACTAAGAGAAGAACAGAATATACTAGTAAATACTAGAGTGTGTTATATATTAAAGTAGAGGCTAGAAGGACAATTTTAACAACTTATATATAAACTGTATTAGATATTACCTTATAAGAGCATGTACCTAGTACTACTAGACTATTTGAGTATTCATCCAACCTTGAAACAGGGTACACTAACTATTACAACAAATTCTATCAAAAAGTTGAAGCTGAGTCATACTATTCAAGTACATCTTCCTGGATTTACTCTGCTTGAATGTTACAACTTTGTTTTACTATACCTGTCATATTAAGTATTTTACAATTTCTTACTGTGAAAAATAACTTACATAATGTTAAACATTATTTGTAATTAAATTTACCATTTTTGATTGATAGAAATCATAAACAAAATTTCAAGTTTCTTTCATAATTAATACAAATATAGAAAAAACTTAAAATATTATTTTGAATTTCTACTAAACTAAAATGGTAAATTAAATTACAAATAATGTTTAACATTATGTAAGTTATTTTTTAAGGCAAGAAATTGTTACAATCTACTACTTTTAAATCCTTAGTTCTGTCAATTCTGTACCTTTCTGTTCTGGAACTCAAGACTTCTGTCCTTTAAGTGTATAGTATATAGACTATATACAGACTGATTCCTACTGTAACTCCTACTACTATCCCTTTCTACCTTGACACACCTTTCCTTTGTCCACCTCTTCATTCTTTGTTCATTCTAAGGTCTCTTACCCTTTACTCTTCCATCCCTTCATTCTTTATTCACATATCTTTGACCTTTTCATTCTTCATTCTTTGTAGCTTATCCTTCCCTAAGTACTCTTATATAGTTTAGTATATATATATGTACAAGATTAGACTAGTCCTATAGTCTTGATCTTGTCTACTCTAGATAGTCCTATACTCTTACACTTAATCTATATACTCTACACTTGTCTTACTCTCTCTACCTATCTGTTCTACAAGTTCTGACTACATTCTAGTACTTACATCCTGTTACTTCTGTTATATAGAATAGTTATAGTCTAAGTCTCCTTACTAAGCCTTTAAGTCCCCTCTATACTGTTACTAACATTAGATTAAGACTACTCATTACTACTTTACAACTGTCCTACACTTTAGACATTAGTACTTGTTGTTACACTAATCTCTTCTATTTGTTCCAACCTTTTTACATTTTTAAAATTTAAGCTTTTTAAACCCTTTTAAACTTTTACTACTCTTCTTCTATTTATTACCCCTTTTAGTTCAGTGTCAATCCCTTTATAGTGTAAACATAGACCCTTCTAAGCTTTCTACTACCCTTACAGTCCTGCCTGACTAGTAGTTGTAAGTAGATCTAGCTTAATATGTATAAACCTTTATTTAAAAGGTCTTTACTAACTATGTACCTCTAGTCTAGCTAGAACCTGTTCTAATTGTTCTAGAGCTTACTACCTGTTTAGGAAAGAAAGTATATATGGTCCACCCTTTAGACTTTAATAGGTAGCACTTTAAGGACTTCTAGTACTAAGTTAAGTTATATGTAGTTACTACTTTAACTAATCTATTCTTAAATCTTAATTGTGTCCTATTTGTCCTCTCCTTTATAAAGGAAGGCAACACAGCCACCTGGGCTCAGAACTAGATTGAAGGTTATTGGATCAGAAGTCTGATCTAACTTTAGAACAATGAGTTATACTTAGGATTCATAAAGTAGCTTTAGGCTTCCTTTATTAATCTAAATAAGAAATACAATATGTAGAACAAGCTTATATCTTTGTAACAGAGCAAACATTCTACTAATACCTTCTTTTAGGAGTTAAATATCCTGGTCTAGAAGGTAGGATTTATTCTCAGGTTTAATAATGTTCTTATTAGAATACTTGAAAAAGCTCTTTATATAGAACTGGTTCATAAAATTCTTAGAGTAACACTAGAACTAACTACTTATATTAAGTAGAAGGCTTATACTATCTCCTTCAACTAAGCTACAGTTTGAATGTGTCAGGTCTGTATGAAACACTCTTACATATGTCTGACTCTAACAGTTCTAAGCCTTTGAATCAATCTGCTTATAACTTATAATTAATCTATTCTAATAAATATTAGAGATACCTGAAAGTAAGGAGTATACTTTGTCTACAGAAAGTCAGAGTACTAAATTAAGGACTGCCTACAGAAGTAGTAGTATATCTGTTAGGTTATTAGAGTAATAACAAGTAACAAGTAGAACTTATAGAGAGAAGCCTTTTCTATAGTTCTAAAAGTTACCTCAGAACTCTTAGACTCTAACTATATACTCTAGGATTTTGTAGAGGCCTAACAGTGAATGTAATACTGAAGGGCTATGACTCAGATTTATTAACAGTTACTTTTGATTTAATAGACACTGTAGGATTAGAAATAAATAAAGTAGATAAA